GGTGGGTGTGGCCAACTGGGTGGGCATGGCCAGCTTGACACTATTCACTGGGCGTGGCTGACTGGGTGGGTGTGGCCAACTGGGTGGGCATGGCCAGCTTGATACTACTCATTTGGTGTGGCTGACTGGGTGGGTGTGGCCAACTGGGTAGGCATGGCCAGCTTGACACTACTCATTGGACGTGGCTGACTGGGTGGGTGTGGCCAACTGGATGGGCGTGACCAAAGTGACATGGGCCAACCCCCTTAAAATTTCCAGGATGACTCCACAGGCCGGATCCGACCACTTCACGAGCCAGATCTGGCCCCTGGTTCTTGTGTTTGACACCTCTGATGTAAGCAAGGGGGATACAAGGAGGATCATGATGATGATGATGATTTCTTACTCTTACTCTTCTTCTTCCTCCTTTTCTTCTTCCTCTTCTTTCTCTTCCACCTCTTCCTTCCTCCCTCCTTCTTTTTTCTTCCTTCTCTTTCTCTTCCTCCTCCGCCTTCCCCTCCTTCTCCTCCTCCTTCCCCTCCCTCCTCTTTTTTCTCCTCTTTTTCTCCTCCTCCTCTTCCTCTCCCCTCCCTCCCTCTTTTTTCTCTTCCTCCTCTTTCTCTTCCTTCCTCCTCCTTCCCCTCCTCCTTCTCCTCCTCCCCCTCCCTCCTCTTTTTTCTCCTCCTTCCTCTTCCCACTTCTCCCTTTCCATCCTCTTCCTCCCCCTTTCCTTCCCACTTTCATAGCTTGGCGGGAGGTGTCACGGACCGTCCACTGTGGAGCACCAGAATGGCTACCCGGCCATGCCGGTGTCGGTTCCCATCTGCCATCATCCTCTGGGGTGGAAGAGCTTTCAACCTTCCTGTGGGAACCACTGGCGAGAACAAGGCCTTGCACAGACAGGCAACGCCTCTGCCCCAGCCTTTCATTTTGTTACAGAACCTGCACCAGATGTCCATTACTTGACCACGGTAAGAGATTTGGCCCTTACCCCACTTCAGGGCGGGGCGGGGATGGAATCAGAAGACAGAACTGTCCTGTGGGTTTCGTAGTTCTCAACTCCCTTGTTTTGTCTTCCCCCCCCCCCCACCTGCCGACAGAGCACCACGTCAGGAGATGGCCTTCGGATGCGTTCCTTACCGACATCAGGTGAGTCTCTTCTGACAGATGCTTCCCAAGAGCCTGAAGCCAACTCCTTGTCCCGACAAAAAAACCCTTTTATTAATTGACTGTGAATTCTGCTCCTTCGCATCCAGCAAA